CCACCTAAAATGCCCCCCCCCCCCACAACTGTGCAGAAATCAGAAACTCAGTAATTATTTCCTATATCATTATCAAGTGTTTCCCAGGGATTTTGCCACTAAATGGAACCAATTGTTCTATAGAGGCCTTTTTTTTTTTTACTTTAAAGAGATGAGATATTGCTATGTTGAGACCCAGGCTGATCTCAAAGTTCTGGGCTCAAGCAATCCTCCTGCCTTGGCCTCCCACAGTGCTGGGACAAGGACTTCTTGGGAGATAGCTCCTCAACTAGAAACAATTTCCCTTTTTTGGGTAATTGTCCATTCCTTGATCCATAGAGGTGGCTTCCTAGTGAACTTCATGACCTGTAAGCTGCCCATAATTGTTCCTGGACACGAAGTCACCTGATTCAAACTGGGTTAAGTAGAGGCTTTTCTATGGGATTTTGGAATTGGAATGATTAGGGAGTTTCAGTGTCTCTCTGGGTCGTTGGAATTGCATCACATACTTGGGAGTGGTTGGTAGACACATTACCCATTGTGTTACTTGGAAGAAGAGAAAACAAGTTTGCTGAAGAGTCCCCACTGGTTTTCCCTGCTACATTCCTAATTTATTCAAAACCTCAGCTAGATTCTCACCCTTGGCCTCCAAGAGATCCTTCTCCTACCCCTCCCACCCTACAGCTCAAGTCCCTTTTTATTTTCCTTAAATTTGACCTCATGAATTACTGGTACTTGCAACAGTCAGCAAACTCCTGATACCAGTCCTTTGCCTCTGGACCTAGACACAAAAAGCTCAGAGGTATAGCCTGGTCCCATAGAATAGAAGGCAGGTTGTAATCATTCTGCATCAACTTTACTTCCAGCCATTTTGTTCCTGCTCGAGAAAGCTCATCAGAATTTGAGTGACTGCAGAAGACATTATAGAGATCACCTGGAATTTGCTTATTATTATTTTGCAATGGGGTCTTTCTCTGTCACTCAGCCTGAAGTACAGTGGTGTCACCATAGCTCACTGGAGGCGCAAACTCTGGGACTCAAGTGATCCTCTTGCCTTAGCCTTCTAAGTAGCTGGGACTATAGGTACACTCCACAACACCCAGCTGATGGTAAAAAAAAAAAAAACCCAAAAAAACCCCAAACTTTTTTTAGAGACAAAGTCTTGCTATGTTACCTAAGCTGGTCTTGAACTCTGGGCCACATGTGATCCTCCTGTCTCAGCCTCCTGAGTCACTGGGATTACAGACATGAGCCACTGTGCTGGGGTTTAACTCTTTTTTTTTTGGCTGGGGCTGGGTTTGAACCTGCCACCTCTGGCACCCTACCCTTTTGAGCCAGGGGTGCTGCCCTTAATTCATTTTTTTTTTAAAGGAATGTAATATTTCTCTTTGGGTAAACATTTGTGCCATACCTTCCAATCCTGGCATTAAGTGTATACTATTTGCTGTTTCTTTTTTTTTTTTTTTTTTTTGAAGTTTTTGGCCAGGGCTGGGTTTAAACACACCACCTCTGGCAGATGGGGCCGGCATCCTACTCCTTTAAGCCACAGGCACTGCCCCTATTTGCTGTTTCTTTTGCCTGGAGTCCCTGTCTCATCAACTCTTCAGGCCCATCCCCAATGTCACTCCCTCTGGGAAGCTTTTCCATACTTTCCTATATTCTGTTAATTAGGTTATATTCTCTTCGTTTTCCAGAGCAGTTGGAATATCCATCTGGTATTACAAATTTTCTTCCAGAATTATTTCTTTACATGCCTATCTCCTTTGAAATAGTGAGTTCCTTAGGGGTTGGGAGAATATCTTGTTTACCTCTGAACCCTATAGTGCTTAATTTAAGACAGATGCTCAGGCTTGGCGCCTGTGGCTCAAGTGGCTAAGGCACCAGCCATGTACCCTTAAGGTGGTGGGTTCCAATCCAGCCCGGGCCCACCAAACAACAATGCTGGCTGCAACCAAAAAAATAGCTGGGCGTTGTGGCAGACGCCTGTGGTCCCAGCTACTTGGGAGGCTGAGGCAGGAGACTTGCTTGAGCCCAGGAGTTGGAGGTTGCTATGAGCTGTGATGCCACAGCACCCTACCCAGGGGGACAGCTTGAGGCTCTGTCTCAAAAAACAACAATAACAAAAAACAGGTGCTCAGAAAAGTTTATTGAATAAGGTTGAATTGCAGCAATATGTCCTGTATACATTCTCATTCATTCAAGAAATACTTATTGAAGGGCTGGGTGCCGTGGCTCATGCCTGTACTTCTAGCACTCTGGTAGGCTGAGGCTGGTGGATTGCCTCAGCTCATGGGTTCTAGACCAGCCTGAACACGAACGAGACCCCATCTTTAAAAATAGCTGGGCACTGTGGGGGTCACCAACTACTTAGGAGGCTGAGGCAAGAGAATCTCTTGAGCTCAGGAGTTTGAGGTTGCTGTGAGTTGTGATACCACGGCACTCTCTACCGAGTGTGACAAAGAGACTGTCTCAAAAAAAAAAAAAAACTTATTGAGTTCCCGAACATAGCCCATGTTTCAGATGTTGCAGATAAGCAAAACATTTCTTGCCGTCAGGGACATTTCTTGCCTTCAGGGACATTACAGATGATAATTGGGTTATAAGGGATAGGAGAAAAAGTAAAGTGGTGTGAAGGGATAAAGAGTGATGGGGCTTGGGACTTGATATTTTAGTACAGTGGTCTCAGAAAGCCTTTCTGGGAAGTTACTTTTGAGTAGATATTTGGAATGAGGGCACATGACTTTCTGTTATGGGTCTCACTCTTGCTCATGCTAGTCTCAAACTCCTGAGTTCAAGCAATCCTCTTACTTCTGCCTCCCAGAGTGCTAGGATTATAGGTGTGAGCTACTGTGTTTCCCTGAAAATAAGACCTACCCCAAAAGTAAGCCCTAGCAAGATTTCTATGTATTTGTTAAATATAAACCCTACCCTGATAATAAGACCTAGTGATGGGTGTGGCTACGCAGTGTATCTGCATAGCCATGCCATGCATTTTGGTGCGGAGAGGTAAGGAAGACTGGAATACCTTTTATTTGCCACAGCTCCTTTCTTCCAGCCCTTCACACTTGCACAGGTGCACGGGTGGTAACCATGGTCACAGGCATCCTATTGGACATGTGCAAATGGCTAGGGGAAAGGAGTTCACGCATCACTAGCTCCAGCCCCACCAACAAGGTCGGCTCCCCCTGTCAGGTTCCAGAAGAAGATGACTTAACTGTATTTTAATAAATGTAGATTGTTGTATTATACTTAATAAAAATAAGACATTCCCTGAAAATAAGCCCTAGTGTGTCTTCTTGAGAAAAAAATAAATATAAGACAATGTCTTATTTTCGGGGAAACATGGTACCAGGCCTGGCAGAAGAGGCTATTTTAAACAGTAGAGTAGCCCGGCTTTGCTAATGGACTGATTACACATAGGATATGATTGGAAGAGAGAACTCAAAGATGAGTCTAGTGGTTTGGTCTGAGATACCGCAGGATGGAGTTTACCTTATCTGAGGAAGAAGAGACTATGAAAGGGGCAAGTTCAAGTATTTGATGATGGGCATGTTAAATCTGACATACTGCTCACACATGTGTATTTTTGTTAGTTTTTCAGAATGTGAAGTTTCTGAAGCAACCTGAAGTTAAAGTCAGTCTTAGTTACTGAACTCCAGGCACTGGGCAGAAACTTTTATATGTGTTGTCTTTTAATCCTTCTAATCATACTGTTGGCTTAGTTACTAATATATCATTGCCCATGAAAGATCAGCATGTCCAAACTCACTCAGCCAATTATTAATCTGCCGGATTAATGCAGAGCTGGGATTCTCATTCAGGTGTGTAAGACTGTAGGACTTTTGCTATTTATTCATCACTGGATTCTAAAGGTGGAGACCACTTTGAATATATTTGCTACAAACCTGGTTTCCATTAAAAAAAAAAAGAATTCAGAATTCAGAAAAGGGCTCAACCTCATCCCAGGAGTTACAAGTTACAATAAATATGAAGAAAGGACAGCATTACTGGACCAGAGAAGGCAGACTAATGCTTGAAACCTCAAGTACCTGAAGGCTTAACGTTAAGAAAGCTGTGATCAGAGGTCTGTTTTAGTTATTATTTTTAAGAAACACGAAAAATATTAAAAAATTGTAGTGGAAGCTGTCCGACCTACATGTCTGTTTGAAAGTGTAACTTGGTGCGGCCTTCCTTTGGCGGTCCTTTAGAAAGACCAGGATATAGAATACAAAAGCCAAGGAACCTGTGGGCACTGCAGCATCCGCCCCCGCTGCCCCACTCAGTCCCCAGCAGCCTCCACGCCACCGAAAGCCCGACGGCTGCCCGCGCATGCGCCCTGGGCAAGCTCCCCGGCCCGCGACGTCAGGGGGCTAGCGCGCTCCAAAGCCCCGCCCCGCGGGCGCCCGAGGCGACCTGGGCGGGGGGCCCCGGGCCACGCCCCCAGCCGAGCCGAGCGCGGCCGAGCCGAGCCGAGCACCTCCGAGCGCGGCCGAGCGGGGCCGAGCCGAGCGGCCCGGAGTCGGTTGGTGCAGCTGCGTGCCCGCCGCTCAGCAGTCCGCGGCTCCGGCGTCTCCGCCGCCGCCTCTGCGGGGCCTGCGCCGCCCGCCCGCCCGCCGGGAGGGAGGTCCGCAGCGCGGGGAGAGCAGCCCGGCCGCGGGCGCCGCCAACGCCGCCGCTGCCAGGTGAGCGCCCGCCGCGGCCCGCCGGCCCCGCGTGCCTCCGCGGCTGTCAGTCCCCAGTGTCTGTGTGTCTCTCTGCCTGTCAGCCCCTGTGTCTACGCGAGCTCCTTCCCGCCACGCCTGGCCCCCGGCCCGCGTCTCGGCCGGCCCCCTCCCGCCCGTTGCCCCGGGTCTTTCTGTCAGCCGCCAGCACCCCCGCGCTGAGAGGCCCCGCCCCTTCCCCCCAGAGCCCCGCCCTCCGCCCATCTGTCATCGCCCCCCAGCTCCGGGAGGGGGAGTCCCGGGGTCCTGCGGGTGGGTGCATCCCCACCGGCCGCACAGTTGCGAAAGGAGCAAGGAGGGGTTAGGGGGTGAGGGGGGTGTCGGCGCAGGCCCGCCGGACCGGTGAGAGTGCGTGTCTGCGCTGCGCCCCGCGTGCGCGCCAGCTCGCCTCCACTCCCGCGGGCCCGATGCATGCTGCTGGGATGTGGCAGCCCATGCCGCTGGTGTAAAGAGCGTCAGCCCGGCCCGGGAAGGCAGCTGAGCCGGACTCGAGCCACTCGGGGTACAGTAGCATCCTGAATCCTGGGACCCTTGTTTGCCCACCGAAAACGCTCTCCGTGGGCTCCGGATTCCCAGGTGCCCTGAATGGCTTGTGAGCAGAGTTTGGGGCTTGTTAAGCTTGGCCAGTTTGGGATTTTCATTCAGAGAAACCTGTTGGAAGTGATGGAGGAGTGGATGGGATGTAGGGCTTAGGTGGAAAGTGTTTGAGAGCTTGAGTCATTTTGAGTTGCATGGTTTGCATTTCTGAGCAGTGATTGCCCTGGGCTTGTGCCCTAAGAGACACTATTATGGGGGGGCGGGGCAAGGCGGGAGGGTATACTCTTTACAGTTTTTATCCGTGTGAACACGTACTGTATATTTATCTAGATATCCTAAGTGTTTATTCACGAGGCATTCACATATCCTCACTTAAAGAAAAAGGGATTCCAGTAGTTTCCATCATACATGTTCTGGTATGTTGTTGTCTTGGTGTTCTTTATTTGTGGTAACTTAGAATTGCAATATTTCAAAACTAAGAGAAAATGCGTCCTAAAACAATTGGTATTTTGCTGGATAATTCTCAACCACTGAGACAGAGCCAAAAGCGCACTTCATTAGCTGGAACAACTTATTTGGGCTTAATTTTTTTCTTAGACACATACAGTGGAAAAATCCAGAAGCAGTAAAGTAGTATCCAAAGCGACTTGCAAAATGAATGAAAGGGTCCCTTCTGTTGCTGCCTTGGAAAGATGATATCAAATTCGCTGTAGAGGACAGAGCTGCTATGTAATGATAAACATATTAACCAAGTTGGTTTTATGACCTTGATACACTGAGCAGAGCTTGATTTGTGCAGTGGTTCATGACCGGCAAACATTGCATGAGAAGTGTGGTCATTTTGGGAAAAAATGTTCCCATGTCTTTTTGTTTTTCTTTTTTTCTTTTTTTTTTTTTTTTTTTTTTTTTTTTTTTTTTTTTTTTCTTTTTTGAGACAGAGCCTCAAGCTGTCCCCCTGGGCAGAGTGCCGTGGCATTACAGCTCACAGCAACCTCCAACTCCTGGGCTCAAGCGAGTCTCCTGCCTCAGCCTCCCAAGTAGCTGGGACCACAGGCGCCCGCCACAACGCCCGGCTATTTTTTGGTTGCAGCTGTCATTGTTGTTTGGCGGGTCCAGGCTGGGGATTCGAACCCACCACCTTAGGTGTACATGGCTGGCGCCTTAGCCGGTTGAGCCACAGGCGCCGAGCCGTCTTTTTGTTTTTCATATTGAAATAAAATTTCAGACTACAGAAGTCTCATGGTGAAGTTTTTTTTTTTTAAGGTTAAAAATTACAAAAGTAATTTATGTTTAAGGTGGAGAACTTGAACAACAAAGGAAGGCATAAGAAAAAAATTCCCATAATTCCACAAACCCTGGCAAACCACGATTTGGTATTGATCCTTTTAGTCTTCTGTTCCCATGTATGTGTATTTTTTTCTTATAAAAATGCTACCATGCAATAAGACTTCTTTTCTATGCTGTTTTCTTTCACTTATAACTAGACTGCAAGAGATATGTCTTGGTTTTGTGATCTTTTTTTTTTTTAAATTTCAGAGTATTACAGGGGTCTTGTGCTCCTTTGATAAAGGAGGTTGGGCGGGGCACAGTGGCTCTTGCCTGTAATCCTAGCATCCTGGGAGACTGAGGTGGGTGGATCCCTTGAGCTCAGGAGTTGCAGACCAACCTAGTGGGGGCGGGGGAGGACTAGAAAAACTAGTCAGGGGTGCCTGTGGTCTCAACTACTGGGGAGGCTGAAGCAAGAGAATTGCTTGAGCCCAAGAGTTTGAGGTTGCCACGGCACTCTATCGAGGGCACAGAGTGAGACTCTATCTCCAAAAAATAAAATAAAATAAAAATAAAGGAAGTCTGGTCATGCCAGTCTTCTGCTGAGAGCCCTCCAAAAGCATCTCATCTTAAAGTAAAATCTGAAGTTTTTGCTGTGGCTGACCAGGCTACCCCTGTCCTCACTTCTAGTCATGCCAGATGCATTTCTTCACTGTTCCTTAAAAACATCAACATAGTGTGGCCTCAGTGCCTTTGCATTTGCTGTTCCTTCTGCCTAGAACTCTAGTCTCTGAATATTATTACGATTGGCTTCCTTACTCCTTCAGGTTTCTGCTCAAATAGAACACCGTCAGGCTTTCCCCCAGAGTCTATAAAATACACCCCATTCCCTAGTCCTCCTTACCCTGCTTTATTTACCACCACTTGGTGATGCATATTCATGTGTTGGTTTATTGTCTTTCTCTCCCACATAATCACAGAAGTGTGAGACTGTTTTTTTCACTGATGTATTCTTAACACTCAGAACTACACTTGGCCCCATTATAGGTACTTCATGTTTGCTGAATGAATGAATACTCATTATCCATCTATTCATGTGACCTTGCTGGTAGCCTTGTAGTCTTTTAGATAGCTGTATCATGGGGGTAGAATAACAATCTCTGAAAAGTCAAGATATTCCTTTCTCTTCCATATCTGAGAAGAAGAATTTTACAAAGTAAGGCTTATGGTCTTAAAAAGAATTATAGTCTTGGTTTAACTTGAACAATTGAGGGAAGGGGTATTTTTGGCAAATGTTGCAGCCTTTTCTTCTTATGCATTATTATTTCTTGTGTCACGTTGGAAACCTCTGAAAAGTGTAAAGTGTCCCAGTTATGTTTACAGTTGTGATTTCAGTTTGGTAGTTCTCAGTGATACAAGCCTCAAGAGCATAGTGGGCTTTTTGTGTCAGCAGATACCCAGAGATATAATTACAGCTTTAATGTGTTTTCATTTGGACAGTAGCTGTTATGTTCACTTATTTTCCTGGCAATCCTATCCTTTTCTTTTCCCTGCTTATCAGTTTTGGGATGGAGGTATACTTAATGGTTCTATTTTTTTTTTTTATTTGTTTGTTTGACAGAGTGTCACTCTGTCACTCTGGCTAGTACACAGTGGTGTGGTGTTGTCATAGCTCACTGCAACCTGAAATTCCTGGGCTTAAGTGATCCTTCTGCCTCAGTCTCCCAAGTAGCTGGGACTGTAGGAATGCTCTACCGCACTCAGCTACTTTCTCTCCTCTTCTCTTTTGTCTTTTCTTTAGAAACGGGTTCTTGTTCTTGCTTAGGCTGGTCTCAAACCCCTGACCTCAAGGAATCCTCCTGCATCTGCCTCCCAGAATGCTAGGATTACAGGCATGAGCCACAGCATCTGCCCAGTTTGGGGGTTAAAAAAAAAAGGGCGGCGCCTGTAGCTCAAAGGAGTAGGGCGCCGGCCCCATATGCCGGAGGTGGTGGGTTCAAACCTGGCCCCAGCCAAAAACTGCAAAAAAAAAAAAAAAATCCTTGACTGTCTGAGCATTTTGCATCTCTCCTGTGACTCTGGAACTGTCTGAAAGTACCAGTTTCATCTTTCAGGGTAATCGCATCTGTAGTAAATGTATAATTGCATTTTCATTTATAGAATGGTTAAAATTGTATCTTGGGGCAAAATTTTTGCAGAGAAGAGGTTTACAGATCTGAAATTCAGGTTGGCTACTTTTAATTTTAGTGAGTTTTTGAAAAATACTTGCTTTTTGCTCTTAAGAAAAAGATTCTGTGGAACACAGCCCTGAGACCTTCAAAAAAATTAAAAAAAAAATTCTCCAAATATACAAGATCTTGGTGGTGAATCCTAAATTTAAAAAATATTTTTTTAAGGCCTGAAAGAATATGTTGAGAATTTTTATTTCATGTTATTGGTGTTTCCTGAACACATGTGGGGGCTTCTGCGTGTTTTCCTGGGGGTCTACATTGCTATGTTCAGTTTTAGAGTGCTGACCTGATTTCTTATTATTTCCTTTCTGACTCTGCTTACCTTCCTCCTTCACCATATTCTCTCGCTAAATGATCTCATCCATTCCCAGGACTTTAAAACCCTCTGGGTGCAGATGACTCCCTAGGTCCGCAGTTCTCAACCTGTGGATCGCAACCCACAGGAACTATGTTAAAGGGCCGCGGCATTGGGAAGGTTGAGAGCCTCTGTCCTAGGTCATGGCTCCTGCCCCTTCTCTGGTTCCAGACTTGCATTTTCAGCTATGGCCTCTTGCGATCTCTGCTTGCTTCCTCACAGTGATCTCAGACTTCTAATGTTCAAAACTGATCTCTCAATCTCCCTTGCAAATTTCCAAATTTGTATTCCTCATTCCCGACCCCTCCTTCTCCTCCCCTCCAGCCTGTGTCTCATTGTTATCGATGTTTATTTTTGTTCAGGCCAACCTGAAAGTTTTTCTTGACTCCCCCTGTCTCTTCACCCCACATCAAATCCTTCAGCGTGGCCTGTTGGCCTAGCCTGCAGAATGTCTCAGATCCTTCCTTCCCTCCATGTTTGAATCCAGCCATCCTCCTCTCTGAGCTGGATGACTGCCCCCGCCTCCTAGCTGCTCTTCCAGTTTCCACTCTTGCCTTCTTCTAGCACATTCTCCTCACAGCAGCCAAAGTGATCCTACCAAAAGTAAACCAGAGCTTGCCATTCTCTTGCTCAGCATCTTCGACTGCACTTAGACTCACAGGCACACTAACTGCGAGGTGACAGGCTTGCCATCCTTGTCAGACTGTGAGCACTGACAATTTCTCAAACATGCCACGTTCTCCTCCTCTTTTGTACAGGCCCTTCCCTCTGCCCAGCACTTGTCTTACTTGTCTTACATAAAAATGCTTCTCAGACATCCAGTCTCGGTTAAGATGTCTTCTCCTTCCCGGGGCCTTGCCTGGTATAGTAGCTTCCTGCCCATTGTCCTCTGACTCTCTGTCTCAGTATATGTATGTTGTTGGGCACTTCACCAAAATTCAAAGTACTTCATTTGTATGTTTGTTTCCTTTTTTACTGTCTACTCCCCCAGTAGACTATAAGCTCAATGAGGGCAGGGACAGCCTTGTTCTGTTTATGATATAGCCCTAGCACCGAGTGCTCTGCCTGGAATCCTGTAGGTGCATGGCCTCAAAGCATTTTAAATAATAGTTAATGTGATAGTTAATTTTCTTTTCTTTCTTTTTATTTTCTTTGCGGTTTTTGGCCAGGGCTGGGTTTGAACCCGC